TGGGCCACAAAAATATCTTGAGGAGGCTCTCACCTACGGTAAAAATGAAAAGTGGCATTCATTAAAACATGAAAAATGACGTGATATTTTGGTTTCAAATATTGGAGTTGCCCTTACCACTTTGAAAATATCCAAAAAACAAAAATAACATTTTTTAAGGATCCTTTTCATTTATCATCATCCATGCGCTCTGAATAATCATAGTTACTTTCACCATAGTAAATTTGATTTTCCCCATTTTATTCTTCTATAATATAATGTTTAAATTCCCTGGTTTATGTATTTTCTTCTTCATGGTCTATCTGTTTTTATGGGTTACAATTATTAATCACCCTTTTAAAAGAAAACATGAAGATTGTATCAACAAGTGCATTGAAGAGAAACCTTAGATCCGAATCCACGTGACTCGCATGGGAATTGAAATAAAAGGCTTCATGAAAAAGCTCCAATGCACCAACAATTATCCTCTTGCTGAAATTAGTGGAATTCTGGAAGGTCTCACGAGTCACGCCATGGGTTATCAAATCAGAAGTGATATTGGCTACTGATTTAGATGAAGCTATAAACTACATTAAAAGGGATAGCAAGATTGGGCTTAAGAACGAGACATTGGATGAAAAGGGGAAAAAAAATAATGTTAGTATCATCCAACTTGAGAAGAAAGAGGGACAAGAGTGAAACACATGCATGTCTTGACCCCAAGTACGCACGTGAACGGACCAACATTCTGTTAACATGTTATTGATATTGGATTACCACATTCATATTGATCATGACGTCATTGTAGTCAGCATATTATATTGAAGATGATATCCAGGTCACCTGCTTACATGCTCAATTATGGGGGAAAGCAATCCAGATTCACAGAAAGCTTTGAAGTGAATCCAAATAAGTAATTAGGATGCAGAAAAATGCCTTCCCCAATCCCCATCGTTTCACTGAAAGCTAATGAAGGTACACACAGGCTCAAACTAAAGGACGAGTGTTGTAGGCTTCGAAGACAGGAAGAAAGTTCCATTTTTACCATACAAGATCATTTTGCATCAGTCAGAGCTGTAATAAGTGGTTAGGTTTTTTAATGATTTAAGGATAAAGAGATTGAGGAATGTGTGATGCACAATGCTGGTTCTTGCATTAGCGGGGGATCCTCCTAGAAGGAAAAGAATGCGAATTTGAAAGCACAGATGGGGAGGGGTGATGGTGATACTGGTAAGCATGCTATTCGCAGGCTTCATAGTTTATTGTTTAGGAGCTAATGACATCTACTTATCAATCAAGAGTAATTCAACATCATATCAGCATTAAACTTGCAAGGAAATGCAACATAATAATCTAGAACTGAAAGGAATAATAAAAAGGGAGTAATTCAATGATTTAATTCCTGAATCTCTCCCTCATATATTAGTTTCCAATTTACGAAACTGAATTATTTACTCCATAAAGTACAAATATGGAAGCTAAACACTTGCAGGCAAAAGGAATCAACATTCACCGCACTGAAACCAACAGGCTTTAGCCTTTAACCCGCTTCTTAGCTCCAGACTTTCAGGATTAAATTGAATCAAGTTAAATGAACAGTCACAATGATTTTTCTCCTACAATCGCTATCAGCTAAGCTAGTGCCATACTGGGGAGATATTAATACAAAATACTCTTCAAAAGCTGCTGTAAAAGGTGGTTTGCATCCTACCTAGCTGTTTCAGCTTCATTGCAGTTAGCCTATTTATTTCTCAGATAATTTTGATTGGGACTACCTAACCTAATGGGTGCTTTTTTTTTTTTTTTTTGGGTCCCTCTTAGCTGCTTAGTCTTATAATCTCGCAGTTTCAATGAATTTGTTCCTGACATTTTGCGTCTACCACTCTACCTAGTTGTACACTTGTTCTAGTCCACTTTGGTGTGTTTAATGTACGCAAATTGATTAATTGAAGAGCCTAAACTCTCAGTTCATATAAAAACCCTTCAGAATATGTTGAAAGTAAAAACCACATTCTAACCCCTCATCAGTTTACTCCTTCTTTCTTCCCAGCTTCTAAAAGAATTCATTGCCAAAAAAAATAAAGAGCCTAATTTTATGAAAAGCCTTTCAATAAACTGAAGTTCACATAGATTTCATTACAATTGGCAGAGATAACTTAAGATCCTAAAGATTAATATATCGGGTCAAAAGCATGTGAATTCAACATAACCATTTTAAAAGGATAGTCCTATTGCAAAACCAACACAAAATCACATAGAAATGAAAACGGATTCAGAGTATGACGTCAAAACTTACAGCTATATCAGGTTGACCATCTAAAACAGAAACTAACAAAGAAATGTCATCTATCACAACACGTCCATACATAATGGGTTCAGATTATAATCAGAACGTATGCAGAGGTGAAATTTCCTATACTTGAAACTTTAGGTAAAATTTGCCCCTCAAAAGAGTGACAAGTAACAAATACCTTCTGACAAGATTAAAATTAAAGGTTTGTAATCAACTTCAAGGAAACAGAAGAAATTAAAATTAAACCTCTCTTATAGATACCAACTTGAAGGCCAATATCCGTGGATGCCATAACCGGTCTTCCAGTTATCCAAGTAACAACCTTCTTCACAGCCCAAAAAGAAACAACAGTGCAAAAATCATTAAACACCCTTGCACATTAACATTCCTCACCTTCACAAGAACAGTGACATAAATGCCATCAACAAACCCACAATGGTGTACAAGAATCCAACTGCAAAACCCTCTGCTCCAAGTTGCATTCCCGATCCCTGGTAAAAGAATATAAGCTTCGACGGATCATTACGGTCCAACAAAAACATCGGCATCTTCCTTATGATGTTATGCATCGCACCCGAGACGCTGAAGAAGTAGACGAACACAGCACCAACAACCAGAACTTCCGGTCATGAACCATAGTCTGACCAGCCAGGATCTTCTTCACTATAAAGGGTAAAATAATCAGGAACCCGAGTCCAATCAAAATCAATTGGCCCCTCGAGAATAACGGAGGCCGATGGATCGGACCTACACAAGCTTCGTCTTCGATTCCAGAAATTCGGCCATGGACTCAGCGAGCCGGAGAAATCTCCCTGGTCCATCTGATCTGACTCTTTGGGGCCTTGATGAGGCGCAATAAGGCGGATGTGAGGTAAGGCATTGATGCCAAAAAGAGCGAAACTAGACTGCGATTCTTTGAATTCAATGTCGCAGAAGAACAATTTCCCGTGAGATGGGGACGAAGGGTCTTTGTTGTTGGCTATGTAAGAAGAAGCATGAGTGCGAATTCGCTGCGAAGCTCCTTGAGACGAAGCTCTGCTTTCTCGTGGAGCTGTGCGGCGTCAAAGAAGATAACAATCCAATAGGGTCTTGGGGTTTTGACTGAGGTAAGGTATCGAGAGACAGATTGGTCGTTGAGGTGAATCAGACCAGATTGGGATCTGGATTGAAGCGCGAGAAGCTCGCTGACTCGGTCATCACCGGATTCCGAGGAGACAGTGCTGGAAATGAGGGACAAGAGACAAGTGACTAGCAAGAGAAATGGAGGTTTCGGAATGGTAGTCATGGCTGTCTACGATTTCGGGGGTTTCACCGAGGGAGAGGGAGGGTTTCGACGGTGAAGACTGAAGACAGTGTAATGAAGACGACGGAGAAGACTTTGACAGATTCATTTCACTGAGTCTTGGCTGACTTCCAATCAGTTACCGCCACGTAAGCAAAAATGTGTTGCACTGACCAATCCTTTTCTTCCATGGTGGACAATTCACGGATCTTTTACAGCCCTTCTGTTTTAAGGAAAAAACTTTTAACTAAGTTATTTTTTAAAAAAAAAAAAATCCCAATCAAGCAAGGGTACAAGGTTCATTGACAGTTTAGGAAACAAAGGCAATGGTCTGATCTCTTAAATATTATATTAGAGTTTGATTTCTTAAAAAATTAATCTCATGACTGTTGTTGGATATAAAGAGATCATGGACAACCCAAAAATTTAATTAGCAAACAAAATTCACAACTATTTTGTAAGGAACTTCAGAATATAATTTTCGGGCCCTTTTTGCGTAAGGTTTAAATTGATTTAAATAGTCTCGATTAATCTACATCATATACTTACATATTTTAATTTTATGCCATGAATGTATATGTTCAAAGCTTTTCTAATTTCTTCACCACAACTTGTTTGGTGCCTCATCATTGTCTTGCTGTTTCATTACCTATCTATAATGTACGGATATTGGCGATTCCAATTTTTTAATTAAAAATCTATCTTTAATTCTTTATGTAATTTAATTGAAAGTGACGAGAAGAGAATAGGTAGAGTTAAAACTTTTTTTACACAAAAAATAGACACCTTATTAATTAAAGACAATTATAGAAAGGATGAAATTTCAAAGGCTACAACTAATTGGAGGTGTAAATTAGTTAAAAAGTGATTTATAATTTTAAATAAAAGGAATATTTACTTTTATAGAATAATTCATCACACAGGCATTTCATTATGTTGATATTTTTAACCTTAGTATAGCAAGGAGACCTAAAAAGTTTTATCTAAGTTCAGTAGCGTTCAAATTTTAATAAAGACAGTTAAACGAAGCAATAGCAGGGGGAAGAAATATAAGATCAGATCATCTAAATAAAATAACGCCCAATTCTGTTCTTTCATGATGGTTCATATGTATATGGTACTTCTTCATATCAGATTTAAGCTAAGTCACTTAACATTGTAGTTGCTCCAAGAACTCTGGACATGGGAGACAACTGGATTAATTATGGTAACTCTTTAATGTGTTTATTATTGAAGAGCAGTGTACATGTCTGTGATATCTGCAATTCTCAACGCACACTGTTACACATCACATGCATGCTTAGTGTGATCAGCTTTGCTCTTTTGAAATATATGGCCTGCCGAATTTCAACATTCCATATTTATTTAATTTCATTAATTAATTCCAATGTGTCACCACGTACGGCCTCACCTATACATGCTGGTGATTAATCTGCAATATTAAAGTGAGACAAACTGAAATGTCTCTGCTTCATTCACATTCTTTTACCCTTTACACATTTGCTTCAAAACTACGGAAACTACAAGAGCAGTAAAAATTACAACAAAAACTTCCAACTTCATATATATATATATATATATATATTAAGCATCAACAATGTCTTCAGTGTCAGCAGAGGCAAAAATGAGCTCAGTTTCTTCACTGCTAACTTCATAAGACCCACCAATCGTATTGTTCTACTCCTTCCCCAACGCCTTCAAAGCCAGATGTGCCGCCTTCTGCCCCGATATCATCATCGCCCCAAACGTCGGACCCTTCAACATCAATTTCGACAATTCGTCAAACGTTTTCAGCACGAAACGATACAATACAAGTATGTTCTATATATATATATATATATATCAAACCAAGGAAGAAGATGACATACCATTCTTGGGGCTCCATCAATTTCGGCAACTTCCATACCAGCGACGATCATGCCAGGCACGACCTCCCTCGTCAGCCTCACAATCGCATCTTCTGCAGCGTTCATGTCCAGCGCCTTCATCCCTGGAACGCTATCGATCTTGCCGATGCTCTTCAGTCTCTTCACTCCAGTGGCTCCAAACGGCCCGTCGTGTCCACAAGAGCTTACCACCACCTTCGCCTCCATCACGTTCGGGTCCATGCACGACTGTGTGTCGTGGTTCATCGACACCAACGCCCAGTTCGTCACCACCCCGGCCACTCTGTCTTCTTTCACGATCAAATCCTCCACCGCCACTGCGTTGAACAGCTTCACGTTCGGCCGAGCCAGAAGCTTGCTCATGATGGTGGACGTGAACACGGCCGCGTGCTTTATCACGACGTAGTGCTCTTGCTCGTCGTACTCGACGCCCAGCTCGTCCAGGAACAGATGGGCCGGCTTGCGGACCACCATGGAGGAGAAGAGCTGCCCGCCTAGCCACGCACCACCGCCGGGGCTGACGGATTGTTCGATGATCGCTACTTGGACGGAGGGGTTCTTGCTGAGCTCGTAGGCGCAGGAGAGTCCGGCGGAGCCGGCACCAATGACGATGACGTCAGTGTCGGCGTAGGTGATCATGTCGGTCATGTATCGGCGGGTAATTTCTTGGGAGACCGTGGATTCTTTGATGGGCTGGAATTTGAAGGACTGGAGATCGTAAGGTGGTGAGGTTAGGGACATGGAGATCGTGGAGGTGGCGGCGGTGGATTTGATGGCCTTGAAGCGAGAAGAATGAACTGGCGTGCCATGGAAGGATGAGGCAGTGAAAGAGGATTTAGGGTTTGAATAAAGAGAGGGGGTGAGAGTTGCAACGGCCATGGCTGCCATGGAAGAAGAAAGAAAGGCTGCTCCTTTGAGTGTTTTATCTAAAGGAGGAAGATTGAGATTTGTGAGATTGAAGAGTGTAAGTGGGGTGGGTTTATAAGCAGAGGTCAGTGAAATATTTAATGGATCCCGCCACATTTGATTTAATTTGTCAAAAAAAAAAATTGAATCAGCTTATTGTAAATCTCAAATTTAAATCTTAAAATATGTAGTCATATTATATATAAATATTAAAGACATTTTCAAGGTATACTTGAATTTATGGTTGATAATTATAATCTCACAATGTAGATTTAAATTAGTTTGGGTTGGTGTTAGTGATGCTTCATGTTCTCAAGAATCAGGTGATAGAATAAAAGAAAAATCTGAATAAAGACAATCTGAGTTTCGAATGAGAGAAATAGAATTTGAACGGCTCAGAAATGTGATTGAAGTCAATTTTGGTATAATTATTTCAGATATACTTACAAGTTAGTATCTGTTTTCTTCCCTGAAACTGCCAAGATCTCCTGGATATGGTGGGGAACATTGGCTTAGAAAGGGCAAGATACGAAGAGGGAATAGAACATGGGCCACATTATATCCAGTTATATTCTATGAAAATGAGTTTGGGGACATGCTCGGAACACCGTGTGAGATATTTATGTCAATAATCATCTTTTCAACAAAGGCTAAACACGGTGATCATGTGTATGTAGAAATGAGGAGTAGTGAAAGTGAGATCATGTTCAACAAGTCCTTGATGCTAATCCCAACTCATAATCACCCCTCCACTTGTAAGATAATGATCCCATCATACTTTTGATTAGGAACTCCTGAATGCACAAAATAAATAATTAATGAATATAATAATATTTGAATTTAAGTTTCTTTGTATAGTTAATTTTGTAATTACATTCTCTCTTTCTCTGATGCAACAACACTGCAAAAAGAATTATAGACATATTATAGAAGAAATAGATATATGAATTAGGCAAGTCCTGCTGACATATGAGACGCTAAGTCCACACACACACACACACTTCTTCTTTTTTTTCAATTAAACTTTCTAGAACCTTTTTAGGGCAACAAGAATCAAGGTCCATTTAATTTTGATCAATTTCTTTTTGATTAATAATGTAAGAAAGTAATGGACCCAATTTAGCAAAGGCTTGATTTCTTTACATGATGGTGATTTCTTTTTTATTTCTCTACTTGATGAAACTAGATTTGGATCACATGCAGTGAATTTCATGTAGTGAATGAAAAGTTGAAAGATTTTGACCATTTATTCTATCTGATAGTTGAGAATGGAAATGTATTTCAAAAGTGTCTTATCATTTGCAAAGCTAACAAACTTTTTTTTTATACTCTTTAAAACTGTTTTTTTTTCCTACTTCTAGGTAGAATCCACACTCTGTGTCCATTGTAAAGTTACAATTTTAAAATTTAAATTGTGAAGTAATTTTTTATTATAGAAAAAATATTTGTATACTTTGTAAATAATAAGGTTTTTTGTGTACTTTTCTCTTGTCAACAATTAAATAAAAAAGTCAACGGTCAGTTATTCTAATGATAATGCCACCTCCCTCTCTTGAAAGAGATCCCAAGTTCAAACTCAATGTTAACACACTTATGTGCGTGCATCCTTTTCTTATGAAAAAAAGCTAGGTTAGGGATAAAAATTTTAAAAATTAGATAGAAATAAACCTGTCATGCTTTTAAAGGCTTCCATGGTTTTGTGGTGTTCTTCAATCAAAGAAAATCAGGGAATTTACTACCAAAGATCTATTCTCTTCAATGATCCAAACCACTTCTAGTTGATATTCAATTGATGACAGAGTACTTCTCAACTTATTGTGATTGTCCTTGAAGGAGCAGAACAAAAGAAAGTCGTCTCCATTATTGTGTCTGGAATTCTAAGAAGGCTTCAACCTTCACTCGGCTAAACGAAGCATGTGGTGGACCATGTTTTCCCTTCTAAGTATGATATATCTAATCTATAAAGAATCCCATTCAATCTTAAAAGCAAGATGCGTGCACTAAGAAGACCAAACTCGATCATACGAAGGCTTGATTGGGCTTGTCGTTAGACCATTTAGACAAAGACGATGACAGGATATGGCTTTCAAGACAAGAACAGACCTAAGAAAGACATGTTTATGAAACTGGATTTACAGAGCACGTTAATTCAGATCTTGCGTTAAGAGGTACCTTCTCGTTCGAACTCTTTTAAAAATTGTGTTTTTAATCAGAAGTTTTTTTTTTTTTTCTCTTTTGGTTTCTTAGGAAAGGCTGTCAAATAAATAGAATTTAAAAAAGAACGTGCTAGGCGATGCTGCGGAGAGAATTACCAAGATCTTGATGGTTCGGGAAAGAGCTGTTGCTTAGGAAGGGGAAAAAATTTGAACACAGTGACAGCTGTGGGATTTGAACCCACGCCCTTTCGGACCAGAGCCTAAATCTGGCGCCTTAGACCACTCGGCCAAACTGTCCTTAATTGAAATCAGAATATCTATCAAAATTTTTATATCCGTAACATACGGTTCCAGTGCTCACCAACCGATATGTTGACATCCTCTCAATAGTAATACTTGAAGAGAAATCTTTAGATTGATCAAGTAAGGCACCGTACTTTTCACATTTCGCGCTGTTTTACTTCGGAACGTGGAATGTCAAAAGTTGTTTGGATATAATTTAATAAAATTAAATGTATTTTTTAAAAGTTTTTTTAGAATAAGCTAAATGTGAAGCTTTATTTTGTTACTTTCTGAGATAAGATAATATTTATCTATATATTTTTTATTCTTATTATATAATATCTAAAATTTTATGTTATTTTAAATTTTTTTACATTTTTTAAATATTTATAATATATTATATTTGTAAAATAAAAATTAAAAATTATCATAAATTAATATCATTTTTTATCATTGTATATTTAAAAGTATATTTTAAAAGAATAAATTATCATTAATCCAAATAATTTTTAATTTATTAAACTAACTTTTAAAAAAATTATATCCAGACATAAATTTTAATATAATAATTGATTTTTATTAAACTAACTTTTACTAAATAAACTTTTAACAAACTAACTTTTGGTAAACTGAAAACTAAATACACATTAAGTCATATCATTTGTAACATATACAATTAAAATGCTCCAAGTACTTAAATTAAATTTTATTTAACATTATTTTAATTAATTTTATTTTTATAACAAAATGCATATTTAATTTTTTTTACTTATTCTCTTTCTACTATTAGTAATATCGGCATTAATTTATATTTAATGATATCTGAATGTTATATTTTTATTGTATAAATCACAAATGATGTGGTGTATCTAATTTACATAAGAATTTTTCATATTTAAATATATTTTTCAATAGTATGTTCTTATCAAACAGTTTTATTAGAAGTGTTCAAGAGACAGGATGGGACCGAAACACTTCTATCCTGTGTCTTGTTTCAAAAAATGATTGGGATTGAACTTTTGTTCTTTGTCCCATCCTGTTAAAAATTGGGATGGGATCCAGACAAAAGTTGGATGCCCTACCATCTTAATAAATTAGATAATATAAAAAAAAGATATAGATAATAGCATTTATTAAAATTTTAAATTATATAATTTATTAAATTTAAAATCAAAACAATACAAGTGCATAAATCATAATAATTTAAAGTTAATTATTGAATTACATCAATCAATACTATAAAATGTATAACACATTATGATACCAATTATAAGTGATCTCTATACTATAAGAGTAATAACAACAAGTAAGTCGGGTACAACATCAAATTATTATTTTTTTTCTTCAATTGAAATATGTTAAGCTAGTTATTATTTTGAAAATAAATCAAAAAATACAAGATAAATAAAAGTTATTAAATAATAATAGATATAAGCATAAATTATATTAATATATTTAATATATTATAAAAAAAGATATTACATGTACTGCTTATTTTGTATCATTAAAATTATCAATATAAAATAAATTTAATTTTAAATAAAACTTTCACATATTGAAATTATAATTAATATAAATATAAATTATATTAATATATTTAATATATATTTTTAAAATAAAAATAATAAAAAATAATATGTATGTATATATATAATATTTAAGACGGGACATCTCGAAGGCAATCTTGTGTTCGATCCCATCCTGATCAATTGAGACAGGTACAAATTGAACACTTTTATGCTATGTTTGGATACATATGAATTTGAATTTAAATTTGAGCTAAATTCATTGTTTGGATAATTAAAAATGTATACATTTGAATTTGATCCAAATTTAAATTCAAATTCTTCCTTAATTTCTTTATAATTTAAAATCCTTTTTAAATTTCTATTATTTCAAATCCTAAATCAAGCTCTTTTGTACTTTGACTCATATGAAGGCTTAATCAACTTGTTAACGGTATTTAGACTGAACTGCCAAAGTTTACAAAAACAAGCTGCCATCGTTGACAAGGATCAGATGGCTAACTTCTAACGGACCGAACCGACGGCCGCCACCGGGATTGGATGGTCGATTCCACCAACACTAAACCAACAATGACGAGCAAGACCTAACCGATGACAAGAATCAAACGACAAGATCCACTTAGATTGGACTGACGACAGGGATCAAACATGTCGATTTGGTCCCGATGAAAGTCGGCAATCCAATCCTCTTTGTCACCGTCGGTTCGATCCAAGTAAAAGTCAGTCATCCAGTCCCCATCATCGCTGACTGTCCAGTCCTGGTAGAAGTCAACCATCCGATCCTTATCATTGCCATCAGTCTAGTCTCAATGAAAGTTGATCGTCCAATCTCAATCGTTGGCATTGGTCGGTCTCAATTGTCCTTGTTAGTTTGGTCCCAATGAAAGTCGGAGGTCTTATCCCGATCGTGATCAGTGCCACAATGCCAATTGGATTTGTTTGTCTAATCGTTGGCCATTCAAATTATCTAGTTTGACCAATCTTTCAATTTTTTTTAAATTTAAATGTAAAATTTAAAATTTAAAATTTTTTATATCATTCAAACAAGGATTTAGAATCTATAAATTTCAAATGTAAAATTTTAAATATAAAATTTTAAATTTAAATTTTTAACTTAAATTTACCCATACAAACATAATCTTAAATTTTATATTTTGCTATGAATGAAACATTTTGGTAGCAAACTCTCGAACCTGTGCCGTGCGGTTTGAACTATTGCAGCGACCCACGGAGACAAGATAGCAAGCATTGCTATGATCAAAACATTTATTAATCTAGATTGGTTGCGTGGGTCTCTATGCATGCATAAAGCCAAGGCAGTACACTTGTTTTCTGAGTTTAGTATAATTACGTAGATTTTTTGTTATCTATTTTAATCACATATATATATATATATATATATATTATAGTCTGATTTTATTTCTTTTAACTGAAATACCTTATATTAACCTATATATATATAAATATATGTGTTTGTGAAAATCTTTAAACGAAACTAGAGTGCAGCATAACATTTCATTTTAGGAGAAAGTTCCCCACATTTTGAGGTGATGATATCTGTAGTGTTCATAAAACTGATCTAAAATTCAGATAATTGATTTGTAATCTATGGTTTATATTTATTATAAATTTATAATACTACATTTCATAACAGAAGCGAAATAACCATTCTTTTGGGGCCACCACCTTCATTTTCCCATCTCTCTGTTTTTCTCCATCTCCTTTCTCTCTCTTTCTGATTCCACCTTCTCCCCCACGCCTACAAAGCAAAGGTACATATTTGGTTGGGTGGTTCAGCATGAAATGAACCTGGTAAGCAGGTGGCGACTCTGCTGGTGTAGTTACAGAATTCTACGTAAGTGTTTGAATTCTGCATCATATTCAAACTGAAGAGAACTGAGAATATAAGTTGTGAAGCAATTTTCTCTGGGGTTTAGAACTTGATGGTGGATTACTGGATTTGATGTTGCAGACGTGTTCAGAGAACGGAGCAGGACGAGAAAGAGACGAGATTGATTTTGAGTTCTTGGGGAACAGAACAGGGGGCCGTACTTGATTCAGACAAATGTGTATCAAAGTCGAATTGGTGGAACTACCACCACCTCATGTAAATTCCTCATCTACCACTTGTCTTGTTAGGACTTGAAGCATGAAAAACTTGGTTTGATGCGGAAAAATGTCTCATATCAAATATAATTGAGACGGAGGAGAAGTGTATAAATGGAAAAGACTCGTTAACTTAACACCTAATATTTTAGGTCAACATGTCATGCCATATCCATTTATGATTGTTGCAAATACTCTCAACGCTACCCAACTTCCCCAGAGGACTGTTCTCTTAGCCCATGGGATTGACAAGTAATCTTGTTGCTCGTGCTCAGTACGTAAATGTTTCATAAATACAAAGTGGGTTCATAATGAAAGCATTTATCGCTATTGTAACAACGGCAAGATTTTGCTTCTCCCTAGCACAAGAGACAAAAACGGTTTTATTATGATTGATTGTCCTGAATCAATATCCGATTCAGTTATGTGCAAAATCAATACCAGATCTTGCGGATACAATGGATCACTTGATGGCTATAAATACAGAACTCTGTTTTAAGAGCTGAAGAACAGGGGAATTCCAGGAAACCGACGATGGCTTCATCTGCAACATGGGGTTTGCTTTTCATGGCCCTGGTGTGGCATGGAAGCACAGGAACAGTAATTAAGCAAGGAAATGACGTGCCTTGCGTGGCGTGCAGCCAAGCGATGAGCACGATGGTGCCGTGTTTTGAGTTTCTGGAAGGTGGAGGTTCCGGCGAGCCGTCACCGAGGTGCTGCCTCGCTGGCATGCAACTGAGTGCCATGTGCAGTTCAGCTGAGACACGAAAGGCAGTGTGTTATTGTTTCAGAGACGCCAAGTTTCAGCCTCCAATCCTTGCCCAGAGGGTTGAACAGCTCCGTCAAGCTTGCGTCAAGGACCTTCCTCCCATCCCCGCCGATCCCTCCCAGGACTGTTCCTACTAAGGTCATTTAATTTAATCAAAGCAGTTCTGATTTTCTGTATTATTTGGGTTTGAAAAATGGACTTTCGTAACTTCGTTATTTGCAGGTTTCTAGGATGGTGAGAATTGAGAAGGATCAAGTGAAGCAGAAACATACTGAAACTGAAGGAGGGTTTTTAGGACTTAACAATAGTGAATCCTCATCGGCAATCTGCCAGTCTTTCTCGGTATCTTCTGTGTATGTATGTATGGATTCGACATAAATAAAAATGTCCAATAATCAATTATCTTTTCTCCTCTGACCAGCGTCCAATAATCTTTTCGGCATGCTCAGTGATCAAGTTTTTGATGAATTCACACATAGATCGTTCACCAACCAACCAAATGCAAATACAAATATTACTCTTTAAATATTTGGTATTCCTAACAAGATATAGATATCAAATTACACATGTTTTCTAAGTTTAGTATAGGTATAAATTTTCTTATCTATTTCTCTAATATATTTAAATATAATTTATTTTTAAAAAAATGGTAAAAAAATTACTTCAAACTTAAACTAGAGACTCGTGTAGCAAAATATTTTATTTCAAGAGCTTTTGTCTATTATGAAAAGTATTGATCATCTGTAATGAATTTTATGAAAAATTCAGATATAATTTACTTGATCTTGCTGAAAAAATAGTGTTATGGTATAATAGTTCATGAAAGAGATGAAAAACCTATCTCATAGGAGCGCTTTTTCTTAAAACAAATGCATTTCGCATCATTTTTTGCCGAAGAGATAAACAGTGTATACATCAATTTTTCATGTTGATATAATACTACCCAAAAAACTTATCAGGTTCCATAGCTAATCCCCCCACCACCATTTCATTCCAAAGAACACACTCCCACGTATCATCGACATTTCCTTGTATTGAAGCCTAACTCTTTTGGCTCCCACATTGCCTTGGATATATATAGTTAACGCAGCATAAACAACGACCAGACGTCAGCACACGGATATCTTTCCAGATCCAGTAATCTTACCTGCTTTCTCAATTTATAATCAAACCACACTTTCCGGCTCGATTGAACGGGTATCAGATCAACACACAGCCAGCCAAGATGGATTAATAGAAAACATTTTATTATAAACCCGTATTAGCGGGGGACACTAGACATTTAAGAGTACGGAAATATAAACAAACTGATAGAAAACATCACACAAATTTATTTGAGGGGCCAACAAAGGACCCCGACACTTCAATTTCTTCAGAACACATAAACCACCACACAACAGAAAGGGACCAACAAAGGCAAAATCCGGCCAATGACGCTCAGTTTCCACCACGAAGGCGAAGCACGAGGTGAAGGGTGGACTCCTTCTGGATGTTGTAATCGGCAAGGGTCCTTCCGTCTTCGAGCTGCTTCCCAGCAAAGATAAGCCTCTGCTGGTCTGGTGGGATCCCCTCCTTGTCCTGAATCTTGGCCTTGACGTTGTCAATGGTGTCCGAACTCTCCACCTCCAAAGTGATGGTCTTGCCGGTCAAGGTCTTGACGAAAATCTGCATGCCTCCTCTGAGACGAAGGACAAGGTGGAGGGTCGATTCCTTCTGAATGTTGTAGTCTGCAAGTGTACGTCCGTCTTCCAGCTGCTTTCCAGCAAATATCAACCTCTGCTGGTCTGGGGGAATACCCTCCTTGTCTTGAATCTTAGCCTTAACGTTGTCGATGGTGTCTGAGCTCTCAACCTCGAGAGTGATGGTCTTCCCAGTCAGGGTTTTCACGAAAATCTGCATGCCACCACGGAGACGCAAGACAAGGTGGAGGGTAGACTCCTTCTGGATATTATAGTCGGCCAAGGTGCGGCCATCCTCGAGCTGCTTACCAGCGAAGATGAGTCTCTGCTGGTCTGGTGGGATACCCTCCTTGTCTTGGATTTTCGCCTTCACGTTGTCAATGGTGTCTGAGCTCTCCACCTCCAAGGTTATGGTCTTCCCTGTGAGGGTCTTGACGAAGATTTGCATGCCACCACGAAGACGGAGGACAAGGTGGAGGGTAGACTCCTTTTGAATGTTGTAATCGGCTAGGGTACGACCATCCTCAAGCTGCTTTCCGGCGAAGATCAGCCTCTGCTGGTCTGGGGGTATGCCCTCCTTATCTTGGATCTTGGCCTTGACATTATCAATGGTGTCGGAGCTCTCGACCTCAAGAGTGATGGTCTTGCCAGTGAGAGTCTTAACAAAGATTTGCATACCACCACGGAGACGGAGGACGAGGTGGAGGGTGGATTCCTTTTGGATGTTGTAGTCGGCAAGGGTCCGGCCGTCCTCAAGCTGCTTCCCGGCGAAGATCAGCCTCTGCTGGTCTGGGGGGATGCCCTCCTTGTCTTGGATCTTGGCCTTAACATTATCGATGGTGTCGGAGCTCTCGACCTCAAGAGTGATGGTCTTGCCGGTGAGAGTCTTTACAAAGATTTGCATCCCACCACGGAGACGGAGGACGAGGTGGAGGGTGGATTCCTTTTGGATGTTGTAGTCAGCAAGGGTACGACCGTCCTCGAGCTGCTTCCCCGCGAAGATCAGCCTCTGCTGGTCTGGGGGGATGCCCTCCTTGTCTTGGATCTTGGCCTTAACATTATCGATGGTGTCGGAGCTCTCGACCTCAAGAGTGATGGTCTTGCCGGTGAGAGTCTTTACAAAGATTTGCATCCCACCACGGAGACGGAGGACGAGGTGGAGGGTGGATTCCTTTTGGATGTTGTAGTCAGCAAGGGTACGACCGTCCTCGAGCTGCTTCCCCGCGAAGATCAGCCTCTGCTGGTCTGGGGGGATGCCCTCCTTGTCTTGGATCTTGGCCTTGACATTGTCGATGGTGTCAGAGCTCTCGACTTCGAGAGTGATGGTCTTGCCGGTGAGGGTCTTGACGAAGATTTGCATCTACATTATACAAAAACACAGATTAAACAGTGATAGCAAAATTCCAACAAGGCAAACAAGATTATGAATTGATCTAGATAAATCACTCGAAATCTTTTTTTTTTCAATGGGGGGAAACAAAAAATAAATCCGCAAGAGGTTATTAGCTTCAGGAACAGATCTGAATGTCTTTTTCAGCGGATAAAATATTTGAAGTCGGTCAGAGACAATCACAAAAGAACTCAAACAAGAAGCCGCCTCACGATGCGGTATCCAAAGCTACTTATGATTAATCAATCGAGGACTTTCAAATCGAAACAATAAACACAGATACCCAGCCTTTAGATCCGCGCGTCTTTTTCACGAATAAAACATGTGAACAAAAACAAAGGTTATCGGGAAATCCCTAAAAGTTCTTTTGGCATCAATCTGCTTACGCCGAAAGAACTCCTCGGTAAATCCGAATCAACCTCGATTCGGCTCATTAAAATATCTTTATATAAAAAGGAAAACAAACCATATCTAAACGATTCTTTGCAGATCCATAACTAGGTCAAATAATTTGGAACAAAAAAAAAGGCAAAACGATACAGATCCAACACAAGCTGAACAAATACAAGATCATCCCTAACAGGCACAGGAATGTGAGGAAAAGAATCTAAATTAAATAGCCTATCATCAAGAACAAGAAAGGAAAACAAAGAAAGAAGGGAAAACGAAGAATACCTTGACAGAGTCTTGGAAGGCTTTTTTGGTAGAAGAAGCGTAGATGAAATTGAAATGCGAAAGAAGAAGGGGCAGGAGGCTCCTTTTATAACAAAAAGAGGTGAACGGCTCCGTTACGGCAACGTCGAAGCGTGACCATTGGGCCAATCATTTCCTAACGCGTGTCCCATGACGTGTCACAAGTGGCTACAGAGGCGGCAACGTTCGGAATATATTCATTGCATTCTCCGTCGGGTTACCGTGGTAACGACGTTATCTTTAGGAGGACAGAGGCTATTCTTTATCATTGGGGCCCACAGGCGAGTGATATTTTACGGCAAATGGGCATTTTTTAGGCCCACGCTCCATTATTGGATGGCCCAGTGGTGGTTGTGTGAATGAACTCTTGATTTGTTGGTCGCTCCCCGGGCTTTTCTGACTTATGAATTAAAAAATTAAAATTTAATAATACATACACGGGTGAATTTAGGAGTACTGATTCTACTAACTACTGAGAAATAGTAGGATTTAAATATATGTAGATATATTGATTTCAGCAATATTAGTTCATAAAAATATTGTTAAGATCATTAATCGGATGTTCATTGTGAGGTGGACTCCTCATTCGCGCGTGAGATGATCATGTGGACAGGAATAAGTCATAAAAATAAATCTAACAATCAGCGAGATTGTGTGGATTTTCTTTCCTTCCTTTTTTTTTTAAAAAAAATCTTTTCTTTTTCTCTCCAACGACCCCTACATTAGATGGGAGATGATTACGTGGATAGGAACAAGTCACAATAATAAATCTAATTATTTGTCAGGTTCTGCTTCGTGCATGAACGGTTTCCAAATAATAATGGTGATAATACAAGATTCATTCAAGTTTTAATGATCTAGATACATAAAATCATTTTGCCCCCTCCTCAAACAAACTTTAATACAAATAACATTGGGGCTTGAAAGACCAAAACAATTAGCAAAAAATGTCAGGATATGGATTCTTTCCTCTTGCTTCTCATCCTCTTCCATTTTTTTCCCTTGCTAGCCATTACATTAAGATTTAAACTATTCAAATTTAATCTCTTATACAATTATTATTAAAATATTAAATTAATAAAAATATAAATAATAAAATTCAAATGACTAAAATTTAAAAACAACATTAAAAATGCAGTAAAAGTAAAATAAAGTAAAATATTTTGAAAAAGATCAAATCTGAATTATTTAAAATCTTGATTTGATGGTTTGAAATTGAGAAAAGGAGGGGAAGAGAATGGAAAGAAAGAGTAGAGAATCCTCTCCCAAAATAGAGTACCAAACGATAGGAAAGAAGATTCTCTCATCTTCCTTTCAATCCTCTTTCCCTCCTTTTTTTTTTTTAAATTTCTAATCATTAGATTAAGATTTGATCTCTTTTACAATATTTTATTTTATTTTATTTTATTTTATTTTACTTTACTTTTATTGTACTTTTAATTTTTTTATTAAATTTTAGCAGTTTAAATTTTATTATTTATTTTTTTATAATTTAATATTTTAATAATAGTTTTATAGGAAATCAAATTAGAAAAATCTAAACCTTGATCTAATGGCTATAAAGGGCAAAGAAGGGAAGAGAGAATCCGTGTCCCAAATGACAGTGAACCTCCAAATAAAGGGGGAAAATTAAAATTCATTTTATTGTTCTAATTAATTATTAATTATAATTATTTTATAAGTTATAACTCCACAAAAATACATTGGTCATTGGGATACATAATTCAGTAAAACAGAGGCTACTCCTATTCAAGATCTTCAATTTAGACATTGTTAATTCAACCAACTCAAATTTAGATTATTAACAATATCAAATAATATAGTTTTAAATTATTTTGTTAGTGTAAGTCAATAACTCAATTCAATGCTATTCATGACCAAAAAGATGCCTAGACATTCAATAAGTTTAGATTAAATTAATAAAAAAGTAAACCAGTAACAGAATCGAGAAACTCATTAGGAAAAGTATCAACTAATACCGAACTTAAAATATTATAATCACGGAACCCCCCACCCCAACTCTAATCCACCCTTTTGTACTCCTTCCTTTTAAAAAAAAAATTGTAAGAGGAATTGTCATATATGTCTCTTTTTTTTATAATCAAAATTATAAATTTTAAAAAATATTTATCACATGTTTCAAATTATCTCTCATAAAGCTTGTGCTTATCTCCACAAAATAAATTTATTTCATTAATTATAAGGATAACTTAATTTAATATTTTTAAATTTTAAGTATAATTATTACATTTAACTAATTTTTTTTAAACTATGTGAATTATTTTTTTTTTATTTGAAAATGGAGTAATACGTTGAAGCATTGTGTTGTGCTATGGGTCAGGTATCAGTTGAAATTTCTGTCATCATTCTTTTTTTTTTTTTTTAAACCCGTTGTCAATAACTTGTCTGGGTGGTGTAGTTGGTTATCACGCTAGTCTCACACACTAGAGGTCCCCGGTTCGAACCCGGGCTCAGACAAGATTATTTTTTCGTTTTAGTTCACAGCTTTCCTTCTTTGGGCACGTACTTGAGGCAACGTTACCTTTTTGGCCAGTTGTCAACGTAACTTAATTAATATTTATTGAACCAACTTGTGGGGTTTGGTTATCTCACGCTTTGCTCATCTAGCGTGATTCTGGTGGGTGACACTCTTTTAGTCAACGTTGGTGGCTTACTTCAGGTGTACGTTTTCTTTTCTAAAGTGTCCGTTCATATTGTAGATAATTAGTGTAATCCAATTTAACCTTCCAACGTCATTTTGTTGATGGGATGTATCCTTGTCTAACTCTAAGAACAATTAAGTTATGAGAGAATGACAGTTAAGGTTTAAGAGAATCAATTAATTTGAAGTTAAATCCGTTTCAATTTTAGAGTTGATCTTTTAATAATAATAAGTTTAATAGTTATAAATATTTATAAGTTTGATTCCAAATGTTACAATTTAATTGTGATACATTTGTAACTTATTTTTTAAATTTTAACATGAAATATAAATATTCAATTTTAATGTTAAAAAATATTAACTCTATTATTTATTCTTTATTATTATTTCTTTATCAACAAAATAAATAGATCCTCCATTTATCCGTTACCTATTATTCATTCTTCAACCTTTTCAAAATTTTAAAAACAAATTGAAATACATCATAACAAAATTGTAACATTGACAGCTAAACTTGTAAACCTTTGAAGCTATTAAACTTATTACCACTAAACGACCAAGAGACTTTGTTGGTATTCTAAAATTGATTAGGATTTAATTTAAATTAATTGATCCCCTTAGAACTTACTCTCCTAGAAAAATTTAATTATATGACTTATAAAAAGAACTCAACAAAACTTCTCTATTTGCCCTATATATACAACTAAAGAGGGTATTGTTTTTTCTTTTCATCCTTAGTGTCAATTACTAATACACTTTATGATGAGTGAAAGATAACTTTGCATAAGAATTTAAGTTAACAAATACAGGGGATAAAATGAAAAAAAAAAAGTATATGCAGTAAGTTATTTATATTTTGAACTAAAATTAGCTAATGAAAAATGTTTATATTTTGGACCGCCATTCTTCCATAAGCTATCTAAATATACACTACTTTAGAAAAATAAAATTTAGTGAGAGACAATGCCATTTTTCCTCACAAAATTGCATTTTAGTAAGGGATTTCTCCCCTCGTTAAATTCATAACTAAAAACCGGCTCGTTAAAATTAGCAAAAAATCATATTTTCCTCACTGATTAGCAAGGAATTTATTGACGAATTTAGTCCTTCACTAATTTTTAGCGAAGGCCATATCCCTCTCACTAATCGTTCATTAATGCTATTCAAAATTCAATAATTTTAACGAGTAATTAGTCTCTCACTAAATATATCTATATTTAAAAATAATAATACCACATTACCTACCATAAGTGCATCAACTTGTAACATATTGCTAATAATTTTGTGCCTCATCAACCGCCATATCACCTACTATCTCGTGTTCCATCACCCACCATGCGTGTGACAACTCATGACACGCCATCATCTACCTCACACCATGTCACTTGCTTCTTACTATATCACATCTTTATTATGTTTATGTTAAGACTAAAACTTGAACCCTTGATCCCTTACTTTTCAAGCTTTATACTTTTCTCCTTTGCTAGTTGGGTCATTATATGATAAATTAAATATATATGTTATTAAAATACACAAATATATTATAACAATAAAAACATATATTAAATTTTATTTTGAATTATTAGTTTGTTAAAAATATTTATATTTTATTTAAATTATTCTTTATAGTATATTTTTAATAAAATATTATTTTATTAATGAAAAAGAACCTAAATAAAGAAAATATTAAATATCAAATAATTTTATAATAAATATTTTAGTTAATTTTTATTTTTAAATGAAAATAATTAAATATATAAATAAAAGTTATTGTCTAAAGTCAATTTTTTTGTAGTAAGTAGTTAGGGATAAAATTCCTTACTAATTATCTTATTTTAAAAAGAGATTAGCAATCTCTCTCTAATTTTAAGTCGAGCTACCAAATCAACATCTCTGGCTAATTTAGTATTTTAAAGAGGAATAGAAAATTTCTCGCTAAATTTCCCTATTAATTTATATTTTTTTAGTAATGAAACTTTCATGAATATCATGCATCCTTGACGGAATATTTTCATCGGGCTCAAACGGATATTTGCATCTAGCTTGCCATCCAATTATCCCAGCAAACATAGACAAAGAGTATGTTCCATGATATCCTGCAATTCCTCTTCTCTTCTGCAACTCAGATAGATATGTGAACTTGATTCTAAGTTGCCATCATCCATACCAGTGTTTTCATCTTCTCTGGGATTGGATTTCAAATTTCTATCCATTACTTGCTGAGATAAAACAATTTGAAGTTTTGACTAAAAAATACTAACTGTAGACAGTTTATCCCATATGTGTTTTTATCCTTACCGGTCCCTCATCATCTCATTAGGAAAGCAGGTGCTAGTGACTTATCTAATTACATGATTACGTGACCAAAATCCTCATTCTTTCCCTTTCCTAACCACCCAAAGTTAATTTGGACCGGAGGGAGTATGTTACAACTATACTTCTCCCTGT